GAATCCTATCCCAATCTCTTTTCACCAGACCCATCTAGACAAGATAAAAACTCTTCAGTGAAATATGTTGTATTTTGAAATAACATGGGCTCTTTACCAAGACATTATATTTTTTGTAGGTTGTTCATCATCTGATAATGGTGGATGTAGCCAGCTCTGTGTTCCTCTCAGCCCAGTATCCTGGGAATGCAGTTGCTTTCCTGGGTATGATCTACAGATGGACAAAAAAAGCTGTACAGCGTCAGGTCAGTGCTATGGATGTTTGAAAACATGTGTCTTCAAAAAGAATAAATGAAGACAACATTTCATTTAGAAAGATGGACAGTTGGATCGCTATTGGATTCTGAGTGGATAGTACTTATATGGAGAGTACTCTCCATATAAATAATAATCATATGTCTTTAAAGAATATTTATAAGTTAATTAACATCCAGAAAAGGTTTGCTACAGCATCCAGCAAGGTATTTCAGAATCTGGAAAAGTCAGGGCTTCAGTAGTCATTTAGCAATTTAAAGTTAAAAGAAATTTAATGAATCTTTGTTGATTAATTGATTTGATTTTCATCTTCCAATGAATGTAATAATCATAATACTTTGATAAACTCTGGGCTTTTCATGTCACAATTTAATATGAAGGCATATGCTTTATGCTAGTAATCTGGGATCACATAATGATGATCCTGAACAGCTTGCTTTTGTCAGACCCCAATACTCTTAATTTCTCATCACCTCATTTAATACTATATAATATAAATTCTGAAAATTAACAAGTGTCTTATTATTAACTCAGATAATCATGCCTGCTTGCAAAAGTGCCCAGGCCAAGCAAGAAAATTTATATGGATGTTAATCTACACAATTTGCTAATATGTTTCAATATATGAATCAAGGAGGCTAAAGCATCACCATTTGAGTCATGTGTAGGTGGTATTAGGCACTAGGAGTCCCTGGGTAGTGCCAATCTTTAAGTGCTTAACCATTAGCCAAAAGGTTGGGGGTTTAAATCCATACAGAGGCACTTTGGAATTCTGGCCTGGCAACCTACTTCAGAAAAGTCACAGTTTTACAAAAACTCTGGCAAGACCGTTCTACTCTGCATACATCATGAGTTGTAATCAACTTGACAGTAACTAACAACAACAACAGCAGATTTGTTATTTAATGCTGGCTCTTTCTGGAAGTAATTTGCGTTTTAAGAGCAAGCACTTAAAGAGGCAGGAATCCAGTGATGAAATTCCAGGGGATAGTTTTGCCAGTCTTAACTTATATCACTCAGTCCAGGCGTGGTGCTGTGGGCTACAGAACTGGGTCACAGGGTCAGTTTGAAATCGGTAGTTCAAACTTATCAGCTGCCCCTTGGAAACTTTATACAGAGTTACTATGATTTCAGAATCTACTCAACGACACTTAACAACAACAACAACCTATGCCACATAAGTGAGAAGTTTAAAAACAACAATCAAGTACTGTAGAAATTAAGGCAAAGGATGCAATGAAACGAGGGAGTCAGAAGTGCTTCTTGAGTTCCAAGGCATATATTTTAAATGGAGCCATATTTGTCTTTTTGTTAACAGGACCACAACCACTTTTGCTGTTTGCCAATTCTCAAGATATTCGACACATGCATTTTGATGGAACAGATTATGAAATCCTATTCAGTCAGCAGATGGGAATGGTTTTTGCCTTAGATTATGATCCTGTGGAAAATAAGGTATGGTTTTGTTGCTGAACAGATGTGGATGTGATTTAAGTAGAGAGTAGAGGATTTCATCCTAACAGATGTCCTGAGCTACTTGAAAATCCTGTGCTAAGCTTAGAACGATTAGGCAGAAAAAAAGTGAAATATAGACACTAGAGAATCATTTAAGAAAGTTCAAGGACTTTCTAAGTTGCCATTTCCCTACTCTGGTCCTTGTCAAGATCCAAACATTTTACTGGGGATGAGGTTAGCATAGAGCTGTAGCCATAGCAGGAACTCCATAAATTTATTACGGATTATTTGCTGGTAGTGGGAGGAATGAGTGGCTGGAGTAGGTTGGGGTACAGGAAATATGGATTAGTAACTTGCCTTTAATATACATTACTGAGAAAGGAGATTCAATGACTTCTCAATTATGAAAATCAAAAAACAAAAAATTTGTTTATGGAAATGTCAGTATAGTTCAAAATAAATTTTACATGAAGATTTTTGTAGGTTACACAGATTTCTATGTTATCCATTTGATTAGCTGGCCATTTGGTATTAATTTCTAGTTGTATTCATGCTAGGTTAGAATGTGTTTAAAATTTGTTACAGTGTCTTCTGGATATTAATCACTCAATAAGTATCAATAGACATAGTTATGCAACCCTCTATAAAGTTTTTAGGAGTATGGTGCTACAGGATAGTTGTCATCAAGTTGTTTTCAACTCATTCAACTCTGTGTGCATCAGGCTACAACTATGCTCCATAGAGTTTTCAATGGTGGATTTCCCAAAAGTAGAATACCAGGTGTTTCTTCTGAGTTGCCTCTGGGTGGATTTGAAATGTCAACCTTTTAGTTAGCAGCTGAAAGTATTAACTGTTTGCACTACCTGAGGACTCCATTAAAGATATGTTGTTGTTGTTTAGTGCTATAGAGTCAGTTTCAACTCTGAGCCATTCTCTATAGGATTTATAAGGAACAGATGGTAGGTTTGAACGGATGACCTTGTGGTTAGCAGTCCATTGCTTAACCTACAGTGCCACACCAGATCTTCTTCAATATTTTATATTGCCAAACAGAACACCGTCTGGTGCTGCACAATCCTCACAATTGTTGTTACACTTGAGCCCATTGCTGCTGTCATTGTGCCAATCCATCTCACTGGGGGTCTTTTTTACACTGACCCTACTATTTACTAAGCATAATGTCCTTCTTCAGGGACTGGTCCATCTTGATAATATATCTGAAGTATGAGAAAGCCTCATCATCCTTGCTTCTAAGGAGAATTCTGACTGTACTTCTTCCAACACAGATTAATCTGCTCTTCTAGCAGTAGCATGGTACTTTTAACAGTCTTCTTTAATTCAATAGATCAATTATATGGTATTCCTTCTTCATTGTCTAAGTTTCACATGAATATGAATCTATTGAAAATACCATGACTTGGGTCAGGTGCACTTTACTCCTCAAACTGACATCTTTGCTTTTCAACACTTTAAAGATGTCTTGTGCAACAGATTTGTTTAATGCAATATGTCACTTGATTTATTGACTGCTGCTTCCATGAGTGTTGATTGTTGTTGTTAGTACCATCAAGTTGGTACCAACTCATAGAAATCCTATGCAAAACAGAACAAAACACTGCCCTGTCCTGCACCAACCATACATTTGTTGCTATGATCCTCTTGCTACTGCTCCTGTGCTAATCCATCCTGTTGGGGGTCTTTCTCTTTTTCTCTGACCCTCCTCTTCACCAAGTATGATGTCCTTCTCCAGAAACTGGTCTGTCCTGATAACCTGACTAAAGTATGAGAGACAAACTCTGGCCATCCTGGCTTCCAAGGAGTATTTTGGCTGTACTTTGTTGAACACAGATTTGGCAATTCATGGTAATTTTAATATTCTCCTTCTACACCATAACTCAAATGCATCAATTAGTCTCTAGTCTTCTTTATTCATTGTCCAAGTTTCACATACATACGAGGTTATTGAAAATACCATGGCTTGGATCAGGCGCAAGTTAGTTCTCAAACTGACATCTCTTGAACACTTTAAAGAGGTCTTGTGCAGCAGATTTGCCTAATGCAATATGTCGTTTGAATTCTTGACTGTTGCTTCCATGAGTGTTGATGGTTGATTCAAGCAAAAAGGAGTCTTTGACAACTTCAATCTTTTCTCCATTTATATGGATGTTGTTTATTGGTCCAGTGGTGAGGATTCTTGTTTTGTTTACATTAAGGGGCAGTCCATACCAAAGACTGTGGTTTTTGTGATCTTCATCAGTAAGTATTTTAAGTCCTCTTTGCTTTCAGCAAGTAAGGTTGTATCATCTGCATATCACAGGTTGTTAAGGAGTCGTCTTTCAATCCTGATGCCACATTCTTCTTCATATAATCCAGGTTCTTGGATGATTTGCTTGGCATACAGTTTGGATAAGTATGGTCAAAGAATACAACCCTGGCACACACCTTTCCTAATTTATCAGTGTTCCCTTGTTCCGTTCAACAACTGCCTCCTGGGCTTTGTATAGGTTCCTGATGAGCACAATTAAGTGGTCCCGCATACTTGCTCTCCACAATGTTGTCTATAGATTGTCATGATCCACACAATCGAAAGTTGTTTTTTTTTTTTGTAGTCAATAAAGCAGAGGTAAACATCTTTATGGTATTCTCTACTTTCAGCCAAAATCCATCTGACATCAGCAATGATAGCCCTCATTCTACATGCTTGTCTGAATCCTACTTAAGCCTCTGGCAGTTCCCTGTCAATGTACTGTTGCAACCATTTTTATATTATCTTTAGCAAACTTTTACTTGCATACAATATTAATAATGTTGTCAGATGGTTTCTTCATACTATTGGATCACCTCTCTTTGGAATGGGCACAAATAGGGATCTCTTCCAGTCAGTTGGCCAGGTAGCTGTACTTCCAAATTTCTTGGCACAGATGACAGAGTACCTCCAGTGCCGCACTAGTTTGTTGAAAGATTTCAATTCGTATCCCATTGATTTCTGGAGCTTTGTTTATTGCCAATACTTCCAGTGCAGCTTGGACTTACTCCTTCACTATCAATGGTTCTTGATCATAAGCTACCTCTAAAAATATTTAAATGCCAACCATTTCTTTTTGGTATAGTGACTTTATGTATACCTCCCATCATCTTTTGATGCTTTCTGCATCCGTCAATATTTTGAATACAGAATCCTTCAGTATTATAAGTTAAGGCTTGAATTTTTTTCTTTAGACCTTTCAACTTGAGAAATGGTGAGCATGTTCTTCCATTTTGATTTTCTAACTCCATATCTTTGCGCATTTCATTTATAATACTTTACTTTGTCTTCTCAAGCTGCCGTTTAAACTTTTCTGTTCAGTTCTTTGCTTCCTCATTTCTTCCATTAGCTTTGGCATCTCCATGCTAGAGAACATGTTTCAGAATCTATTTTGACATCCGTTTTTGTCTTTTCTTTCTTTACTGTTTTATTAGTCACCTTTTGCTTTCCTTCTGTATGATGTTCTTGATGTCCTCCTATAGTTCTTCTGGTCTTCCATCATTAGTGTCTAATGCATCAACCCATTTCTTAATATGATCTCTAAATTCAGGTGGGATATGTTCAAGGTCACATTTTGGTTCTCATAGACATGTTTTAATTTTCTCCAGTTTCAGTTTGAACTTGCTATGAGCACTTGATGGTTTGTTCCACAATTGGTCCCTGACCTTGTTTTGGCTCATGATATGGAGCATTTCTACCATTTCTTTCCACAGATGTAGTCAATTTGATTGCTGTGTATTCCATCTGGTGAGGCCCAAGTGTATAGTCGCTTTTGTATTGTTTACAAAAGGTATTTACAATTATAGAAGGGTGGATAACCCATTGTTTAGTGAATTCTTCCATGAAAACTCTTTTATTATTGTTTATTGATATCTATATGAGGAGGTTTCAAAGAGTTCATAGAAAAATTCATTTAAAGAATTCTTTGAATTTCATTGGTGTGTTAAAATTTCACAGATGTTATTATTAGATTGTTGGCTGGTCAGTAGCATTTTTTTTAACACTTTATGAAATTCTTGTACCTTTGGGTTAACCTGCATATTAGGCTAGAAAAAGAACTTTGTACCTTCAAGGTATACTCTCTTGGGCAAAATGGATTGATTTAAATGCAATGATATAAGGTTAGAAATAAAAGGAACTTTAACAAATATGTAGTGTAAATTTCTCATCTAAAGTTCAGTGACATAAATGCAACCAGACCAATCAATATGTAGCGAATCTGGGGTAGGAACTAGTGCCTCTTCTGACTTGCAATGCTGTGGACTTCTGGGGATTAAGTTGAAGATACAGCATGTTTTGTTGTTGTGGTGGTTGTTGTTAAGTGCTGTCAAGTCACTTCCAACTCATAACACCTTTGTATAGGTTGCTGAGGAGTAGCTGGTGGGTTTGAGCTGTTGATCTTTTGGGTTGCAATCCAGTGCATATCCTATAGAGCCACACCAGGAGTTCAGCATGTGTTGTGTTGTTAAGTCGTTTCTGACTCATATCAATCTGGTATAGGGCTTCTGAGGAGTGAGTGGTGAGTTTGAACTGCAAGCCTTGTGGTTCAATTCGACTTTGTGGTCAGTGCTCATCCTACAGTGCCATACCAGTAGCCACTGTTAAGTTGCAAATCATTGCTCTGTTCTGGGTTGTAGAAGTTATTGGGGTTCAAGCACAATGACAAGTTACTGACCAGTGATCAAAGATTAATAAACTACATTTATATTAATAGAAATTTGAGCCATGCCAATGAGTTTGTCATTATTATTCTCATTTTACCAGAGGAAACTAAGACTTTGAGGCAAAGATTAACTTGCCTAAGGTCACAGTTCTAGTTTTGTCTAACACCAAAACCATGTTCTTAACAAGTACACAATAATTACTTGACGAGTTACTAACTTCATTTTTATGCGGGGGCTTCAAAGAGTTTGTGGAGAAATGGAATGAAAAGATAATGGAATTTTTTCTTGAACTTTTTGAAGCTCTCTCATGTATTTATTCATTTTTCCCAAATCAGTCAGAAATACCTATGTTCTCTTTTGTAGATATACTTTGCCAATACAGCCCTGAAGTGGATAGAGAGAGCTAATGTGGATGGTTCAAACAGAGAAAGGCTTATTGATGCAGTAGATGAGCCAGAAGGTCTTACTATAGACTGGATTAACCGTAAATTCTACTGGACTGACAGAGGGTATGTTTCTTCCTTCAGTTTGAAGTCCTGTGGGATGGGAGTAATGGGATAGGCAATTCATCTGGCTTGACTCTCCACCACGAACTCAAGAAAGTATTGCTGGGCACCTGGCTGCAAAATGGTCCCCTTGATGTATACACTTGCCCTGCCTCCAAGCAAGACATCATCCCTTCACCACGATTGGATCTGTATCTATGGGAAAATGTTAAGGACTAAGAAAATAGCATGAAAAAAAAAAAAAAAGAATTTTTGCAGTTTAGGCTTTGCAATCAAAGAAAACCCAAATGTATCTGAATTAAATCAACAAGCATTTTTTGAACATCTGCTATGGATAAAGCACTTTCCTAGGTACAGTGAGAAATATAGAGGAGTATGAGATATACTTTATGCCCTTTTTATCAGTTCATGGTGTAGATGGGGAAAGAAGGCACCTATATGCAGAAAAAGGATAATAAAAATGCATGGCTTAAATACAAAAAATGTCATAGGACTGTATGTAACTAATTGCTAATTGAAGAGTGCACATTCCCAGAGGGAGGGCTGAAAGAGATTTCAAGGACTACCTATCACAGTCCCTGGTTTTACAGATGAAGAAGCTCAGAGAGGCCAAGTGATTTATGCAAGGCCATGCAGCATGGACTGCAAGGTCAGTTTGAACTGTAAGTTCAGCAGTTCAAATTCACCAGCCGCTCTTCAGAAACCTTATACAGGGTCGTTATGAGTCAGAACTGATTAGCTGGCACTTAACAATAACACAGTCACAATGCAGCATGGAAGTGATGAATCTCAGATTAGAATCCAGATCTGGCTTCCTGTTAGGTGAGCAAGAGTTTCATGCTAGAGTTGTGAAGAAAGATGTTATGAGGCAGGAGACTAGATCAGAGATTCTCTGCTTTCCCACTGATGGGAAACAACATTTCCAGAGTGAGGATGTAATTCTGTCCACTTAGGACATCACTCTTGCAGTTTTGGTGTGGTGTTGCTGCAGGATGATGCACTGGACCGCAAGGTCCGTTAGAACCATAAGGTCGGTGGTTCAAACTCACCAGCCGCTCCTTGGAAACCCTATACAGGGTCATTATGAGTACTTGACAGTACTTAACAACAACAACTTGGGACTGTGTGTAGAACAGCAGCTAAGTTCATTTGTGTGTGTGTGTGGCCTGGGTTAGCTGGGCGGACAGTGGTAGAAGGAAGTGAGAGGCTGCCTTCTGTGTTAAAATGATCCTTAGCCCACTTCCTTGCTTCTTGCTTCTGAGGGGAAAACATATGATAATGTTAGAGATGCCTTGTGCTCTGAAATATTTACTCATAGTAACTTAAAGCTGAATAGTAAAGTTTCATCCTGAAACACTGGTACCTGTGTTGTTGTTAAGTGCCATCGAGTTGGTTTCGACTCACAGCTACCCTGTGTAGGGTTTGTGAGGAGTGGCTGATGGGTTTGAACTGCTGACTTTGTAATTCAAACCTACCTTGCAGTCCAGTGCTTTATCCTACAGTGACACCCTATGTAACCATGATAAAAGAAAATATGGGAGATTAGTTAGGATTTCACCTCTGTGAAATCAAAACTCCTAAAATAAGCTTGCAGGTAGGTTTGTTATGTCCCAGAAAAATCTCTTTTAGTTTAGGAAATCCATGGGTAGTAACTTGTTTTTTTGATGTGTAACATGATTTACAGTTATCAATAATATGACACTTTTACATCTAGTATGGAGTCCTGATATGACCCTGTAGAATATGGTCATGGTCACCCATCTACTCAAACATCTCTTCACTCTGGTAGCGTAGTGGTTATGAATCGGGCTATGAACTGCAAGGGCAGCAGTTCAAAACTACCTGCTGTTCCATGGGAGAAAGATGAGGCTTTCTGCTCCCAGCCTCAGAAACCCTGTATAGGGTCGCTATGAGTTGGAACCGACTCCTTGGCACATAACAACAACAACATTTGTTTATTGAATAAATGGATTGTGACACGGCACTAAGAGCTTTATGTCATGCACGATACCATTGAATCCTAAAGAGGAACCTGTGAATGTTAGGTTTTCTTTATTGTTGTTGTTGTTGTTAAGTGCCGTCGAGTCGGTTCCGACCCATAGCGACCCTGTACAGGGTTTCCGAGGGTGTAAATCCTTACGGGAGTAGAAAGCCTCATCTTTCTCCCGCGGAGCGGCTGGTAGTTTCGAACCACTGACCTTAACGTTTGCAGCCCGATTCGTAACCACTACGCTACCAGAGCTCTTCTTTATAGATTAAAAAAATTGAAGCTTAAAGACATATACTATCTTTCCCAGGGGCAGGGACAAGCAGCTAGCAAGTGTTGCATATGGATTTTGAATTCAAGGATACTTGTTGCTGTTGTGGTTAAGTGCCATTGAGCCGGTTCTGACCAATAGTGACCCTGTATAGGGTTTCCGAGGCTGTGAGAATCTTGTGAGAGTAGAAAGCATTATCTTTTTCCCGTGGAGTGGCTGGTGGACTTGAACAGCCAACCTTGTGGTTCTCAGTCCAGTGCTTATCCTACAGAGCCATCACACACCCCTCCAAAGCTTAGGCTCTGAATAATCATAGACATATATTACCCCACCACCACCACCAACTGCCACCTAGAGTTGATTAAAATATGCTAGACCCAGAATGATATAATTAATTAAAATCAACTTGTAATAATGATAACAATTTTAATAGTGGCTCTTCTGTCTTGAATCCACTTAAAAGGACTTTTAAAATATCAGTCTGTGTAATAATAGAGTGTGTACTGTTCTCTGAAGAGCAAGCATTGATCCAAAAAGCAGCTGTCAGCCCTCTTGGCCCGGTCTCTAAGGGTACTGCGTTTCCTCACATTTCCCCATACTCACATGACACCTCTAATTTTAATAGTGGTTGATTAATAGCACCATAGGGTTCTACTGTGGAGGTAGTGCCTTTGGGGAGAGACAGGCACGGCATCTATCTGGAGAATCAGACCCCAAATTTCATAGTTCACTGTCTTCAGTAATAACAAGCCCTTCTTAAATCCTCTTTCCTCTAAAGGCAGCTGCTAACAGAAAACCTTTAATTTATCTGGAAATGAGAGGTTTACAGTTGGAAAACCTTGATATTAACTAGCAATTGAATTTAAATAACTGAGATTCCAATCTTATGATATTATATTATAATTATTTAATTAAAAGAATCAGAGTGGAAGGTTGCTGTCTAAATTGCCTTGGAAAAGATAGACTCAGATTGACATCTAACTGTAGAAAGGAAGCAAATTCATAATTCCATTGGTGGTACTGTTATTTAGGATCAAGGAATCCTGATTTCTAAAGCCAAATGTCTAGTATAAAGGAATCAAGAGGGTAAAAGTATATGTTTACTTATTCTTTTAAGGTAAAATTACTCTCCTAGGATTCAGTATAGACTTACTCTGGAAAGAGATGTTAGTCAGCAGCGCCAGGTGTGCAGAGCAGAACTGTACTCCATTGGGAGCAGGTTGCCAGACCTATTTTCCAAGGCATCTCTGAGTAGGTTCCAACCACCAACCTTTCAGTTAGTAGCTGAGTACTTAACCATTTGTGCCACCCAGGAATTAGATGTGGATATTTTCTCTTAGAGGATTCCAACTGCACTAGGATCAATTAGGTAACAGATACAAAGAGAAAGGTGCTTTACTACAAGGGTTATACTCAAATTCAAATGTTACCAAAATGTCCTTGTTTGTCTTTGCTTTCTTATTAACAACACTACAGGTTAGCACTTACTTTCTGTCTAAATCAAATAGAAAATTTTTATTAGCATGGGGAACTTCCTAAGTCATTTCCAGCTATCTTGCCTTCAGACAGTTTCGCTGCTATTCTCAGTTCTCATCACATAACTTCTACTCAAAACAGTAAGAATTTAAAGATGATGTAACAGTGAGATCAGAACTGACAGTTTTCTCTCTTCTGATCACAAGCTAGGGCATCCAAATATGACTTAGTATTCCTTCATTTTCACCAAGGGAAGAGGCACAGTGACAGTTGTATCTAAGAGAGACTGAATTTGACACATTGAGTTCATACATATCTTCTACCCAGCAGTACCTTCCTATAATCACTGCAACTGAGAATAAAATGGTCTTGCTTTTCTTTTTGACTATTCACAAATACTATTTTTTTTTTTTTTACTCTTCACAAACATTTCTTGATAATGTTCACAGAAATCATTATTCATTAATTTAAAAACTGCAATTCTTCAGTGAGCTTACCTATAAACTTTTATATACTTTTCTATAAAATTTTAGATATTAAAAAAAATAGCAACTTGATTTTTGGAATATCCGCTCCAGACAAAGCTTGCACGCACAATTCTGAAACTGACAAATTGTCTTGGAAAAAATGTATCTAGTACAAAATAAACTTTCAACATTTGTCTAAAATGACATCAAAATTATTATAAGGTTTTAGAGTAATCTTAATTATTTGATGTTCAATAGAATTCACTTTACAAAAAACTCTACAAAAAAACGGCTTTCTTGGTTTTCTTGACACTTCTGACTTTCAGTGAAGGTCAGATCTAGTAGGATGCTGACAGATTACTTTCCTCTGTGGAGTTTCTGATGCACTGTGATTGGTTGAATTCTCACAAACCCTCAAACACTCATTATATTCACAGCGCTTCATTCCACTTTACATGAGTTCACTAAACTAGCATTGTGTTTTGAAAGTGATTGTTGCAAATTAGTTTTAAAAAGTGTTTTTAAAGTGATTGTTGAATTAGTTCTGACTCATAGTTACCCTGTATAGGGTTTCCAAACAGCAGGTGGCCGGTTTGGCTGCTGACATCATGATTCAAAGTCCAGTGCTGATCCACACCAGGAATCCAGGGCTTTAAAAATGATACTACAGTTTCAAAATAGCCACTGCTCTGAGTTAGTAGTTTGCAAAGCCTAGAATTCCTGGTATAGCCCTAAGGGTTGTTAATGTGCTGAATAGCAAAGTTGCTTTGAACCTCAAGGTTGACAATTCAAGCTCACTAGCTGCTCCTTGGAAACCCTATATGGGGTCGCTATGAGTTGGAACCAACTCAACAGCATTTAACAACAACAACAACAACAAGGGGCCCAACCTAGGCTCTGAGCTAGTTTTACACCTACCTCCATTCTTTATGGAGTCTTGGTGTGATGATGTAGGATAAGTACTGGACGGAAAGGTCAGTTTGAGCTGCAACGTCAGTCATTCAAACTCATTAGCTGCTCCATGAAAACATTACACAGGGTCGCTATGAGTTGGAACCAACTCAATTGCACTTAAAAACAATAGCCATCCTTTATACAGTCTGTGGGGAGGAACTGTAGAGCTCTGTTCCTCAACTAGGCACTGTGTGTGGCTCGAATGTTTTGTCCTCAACTACTAATCCCTAGACTGCTAGCACAAGGTTGGCAGTTCATATCCACCAGCCACTCCTCAGAAACCTTACACAGGGCCACTTTGAGTAGGATTCAACTCAATGTCACTCAACAACAAACAGCTAACCTAAAAGTTAGTGAGTAAAACTTACCCAGTGTTGCTGTTGGAGAAGGCCCGCCAATCTGCTCCCAGAAACATTTTAGTCAAGAAGACCCCACGGAGCATGTCTAGTCTGTAACACACGGGGTAGCTATGAGTCAAAATCTGCAATGAATTTGTGGGTTTTTTTTTGTTTTCTTATTCCCCAACTGATGTCACTGGTTAGTGTCAATGATGAACATGCTCTGTTAACTGAAAGGTTGGAAGTTCAAGTCCACCCAAATATGTCTCAGAAGAAAGACCTGGTAATTGAACTCCCCCCAAAAAATCAACCATTGAAAATCCTATGAAATATAGTTCTACTCTCACAGAATGATACACACAGGTCGACCAAAAACTCAGTGGCAATTGTTGCTGATATTCTCCAACTAGTGACTAGAAAGTAGACTTGAATAAACCTGGAGATCTCTTTAGCATTTTCATAGACTGGGGGAGGATAGAATGGTCCTATCTTGTGTTTCTGGACAGACATTGCTCATGAGAAGAAGATGAGGAAATGAAGTTGAGTACATGAAAAATGGATACATATTCTAGTTTGCAGTAAGGAAGCAGACCACTGGGGAGTTCAACTGAACCTCACTTTTTTTTTTTCTTCTCTCCATTTATCTTTTTTTTAAAGTTTTTATTGTGAATTAAGTGATAGTTTACATGGGAGAACACCAGCTTTACATTCATCCTATCGTATTTTGTTTCATTGCAATGATTACAATCCCCTCCATGCATCATCATTCAACAGCATTTGCTTCCATTCCCTCTGGTTTTTTGTTTTGTTTTGTTTTGTTTTGTATGTATACCAAAGCACTCAGGAATACATAACTATTCCAACAACCAAAGGTTATACCCCACAAGCCTGCCCCCCGGTGGCCAGCATACAGCTCCTCTCTCTCCCTGAGTCCAGAATCCCCAGTTGTTCCATCTCTCCATGTCATTATCTCTATGTCCATCTCTGGAGTCACTGTTTCTTTGGATAGGGTCCCGCATTCCGCTCTTTTCCCTTGATGGCCCCAAGGTCCTTCACACCTAGACTGCAAGATCAACCACTCCTATCCTTTTGTTACAACTCACAGTCAGTCCTGATAGCAATTATTCACTACTGAAGCACATAAGTCTTATCCCCAACTCCTTTCACTAACCCGTCCATACAGGTTGGAAACCACTCAGTGGAGATTCTACCTTCCCCTGCACACTTTAGGCTTCCTCTTGAAAGCTTGTAAGCCAAATACTTCTTGCCTTTGTAGTCCCCACCTCATTTTGGGTAGCCAGTGTCTCAGTTGCCCATCCCTGTCAACGCTGTATACCAGGGGGGGTGGGACTGATCCTTGCTATAAAGATTCACTAAACCTCACATTTATCTCCATTGCCTATAGCTTTGTCTGCTCCAGGAAGCTGCTCAGAAATCTGTGTTAAATCACTGACTGGTGACTGGGGGAGGAGAGGGAATAAAGAATTAATTGGAGAGTTTGAATACATCCAGTCTTCTCCATCAGTCACCATCATTTTCCTGCCTTAACCGCTCCACACTGAAATCACAGGATACTTTCTAAAGTGATTTATCAATGCCCCGCAGCTGTTTGAGACTGCTGAGACTTTGTAATGTTGGTTCTTCCACTTAGGGTAGAAAGCCTCCACTAAGACTTAAGAATCCTACACATATCCTTGCCTAGCTACTGCCATCTTATCCTGGCTTATTATCAGGATTTAAAACTGGTTCAAAATGGTTCTGTAATTGCTATTGTAAATTAGGGCTGTATATATGTTGCACATCACCAAATTCGTTTCCCTTGATATGCTAATTTGAGCAGCAAGAAACAGCTATGCCCAGCTCAAAGATAGCAGCACCTGGCAGTGCTTTGAATGTGTGCTGTTCTCCAGAGTCCTGCCAATAATCTACTCTCCTGAAACTTTCAAGAGGGAGGAATGTGGCAGGACTTTTGATGAGCAACATTACTGGCTGGACTCTGGAGTTTTTGGCATCAATAAGTGCTCAATATATTTCTATTTGATAATAAAGAGTTTTTACTATCAAGGATTTTCTCCCTTGTAGATGTCAAAGAATTATTTATTTATTTATTTATTCTATATGTGAAGATTAGTGAATAATATATAAGTGTTCCCATCTCAGAATCACATGGAGGAAAACAAGTCAATGTACATCTTCCTTGACTGTTTTTGGGCTTGGTGGTCCCTGTGACCCCTTCCAGTCCACTTTTCTTGCTTACACTTTGCTCTGACTATAGGCTGATACCTTCTTTGCCACTGGTTTGTACTAGTTCAGCAGCAGATTGTATGATGGAAAGAGAAAGAGATGACAGTATTTACACGTCTAGTTTTGTCACAGTCTGATCATTGACACATGCCCCCTTTTACTTTTTCATTGTAATTGGCTGGGATAAATGTTGACATGCTATGAATCATAAGTTTGGCAGTTTATACCCACCAGCCACTCCTTGGAAATTCTATACGGAGTCAGAACCAACTCGATGACACTTAACAACAACAACAATTAAAACACTATGCTTTAAAAAATGAGAATTCATGGTCTGGTTGCTTCCAATCTGTAGGAGCAAACGTAGGGAACAAGGAATCCTTTAAAATTTCTATTTTTGCATTTCAGTAAGTAACAAAGGAAAGGAATGTCACAGGCTCTTCTGTATTTCATACATTTCAGGAAGTCTCTCATTAAAAGAAGTAATTTAAATGGAACACACCATGAAATAATCATTGAGTCAGACATCTCTCAGCCACGAGGAATTGCTGTTCATCCAGTGGCCAAGTAGGTATTTATGAAAGTAAGGAACTTTTCTGCCAAATCAACTGACTTATTATGCTTGCTATGCTAAAATTTGTCATAGAACTCAAATGGCCAGTAAAATTGGAAACCAAGAATATTCATCAGTTTTCTTTAAATCTTTAAAAATGGCATGACAAGACAAAAACCATAAGCTGAATTTAAATAATAGGCTTAACGAGGAAACAAATTATGAGGGTTAATTGTGAAAACATTTTTAAAATCTGTTGTTGTTTTTAAGTGCCATCAAGTAGCTTCTGACTCATAGTGACCCTGTATAGGGTTTCCGAAGAGCAGCTGGTGACTTTGCGGATCAAACTGACCTTGAGATCCAGCACATTAACCCGCGAGGGTTAAAAAATTATAGAGAACCACTGATTTCCTCTTAGTGGTCAAAAGAAAGGATAAAAACCAACACCATTTTATTTAGGATGAAAATTTCACAATGATTTCTGTGAGATAATAAGTTAATGGCAATTGATCATTGTTTGGGGATCAGCCAGATGATTGAGCAGGTCAGTAAAATAGATACTGAGTCATGTTAGCATAAAAAATAGTACCTCATTACCTTATTTATGGAACTTAAAATATTCAAGTTAACTAGTACAGTGCATCAAGATAGATTAGAATGAAATGTTCGTTTTCTTGTGTTATAGTTTTACATATACAGTGAGTTTACTTATGCCTAACAGGACAGGATAGCAAGATTTTATTGTGTTTTGCAGCTTGAAATGCTAATTTAAGGCAATGCCATTGAGCACACATTTGATTATTAATGTGCTATAGTTTTTTAAAGTAATGATCCCCTTTTAATCTCATTATCTGGGCTACAATTTGGTATTTTTTTTGTCTAAGATTCTCTACAGGGCAAGGATTATCATTTTGCTTTGAAAAATTATTTGTTCAACATACAATGCTATACTTTCTTCATCTCTACTCCTTAGTGTACCCTATCAGTTTATCCTGAAGGAATTTGCATTGATGTTTTCAATAATAAAGAATGGAAATTTTTTTTGCATGAAGATTTTACTTGTGTGCTTTCTTGATTAAAGGATATTATTTTGGACTGATATGGGGATTAATCCACGAATTGAAAGCTCTTCTCTTCAAGGCTCTTACCGACGAGTTATAGCTAGTTCTGATCTGGTCTGGCCCAGTGGAATAACGATTGACTATTTAGCTGACAAGTTGTACTGGTGTGACGCCAAGCTATCTGTGATTGAAATGGCCAATCTGGATGGTTCAGAACGCCAAAGACTTGTCCAGAACGATGTAGGTGAGACTTTGGGATGGGTAATTTCTTCATTTGTACTGAGTCTGATGCATGTTAAATACAAAATGTACTTACACAGATACCAATGCACACACACACATATATACAATTTTGTTTTAAAGGTAGACTTCATTAAGAATTATTTCAGCATTGGAATATTGTATAATAATAGTGGTATATATATATATATAATTTCTTTTTTTCCCAAATTTCCCCTAATCAGGATGAATAATACATTCAAATTTTCTAAACTACTTAAAAAATAAGTACTTGGTTGAACTGTTATCATTTCTTATATTTTAAAAAATGTTATTTTTTTTAAATAACATTTTTGATAATAATGAATATGCATGAGCACTTAAAATGTGCAAAGATAAATGAATCAAACAAAATTTCCCCCCTACTCTATTTTCAGTTTTTGCATGGAGTGGCACCTATTTTCATAAATATCTTTAAGATGATTGTAACCTATGCTAACTATTAGGAGAAAAGTGCAAAGGACTCAGATCATACTAATAGGAGACTCATTTTGATTCAAGGAATCTGCAAAGAAAACAGTAGGTGAACTGGTTCATGTGATAATTAAACCTCCAAAATCAAACAACTCAGCAACTCAGTAGGACAGAGTAGAACTGCCCATAGAGTTTCCAAGGTTGTAAATCTTTATGGAAGCAGACTACCACATGTTTCTCCTCTTAATAGCTGGTGGGTTTGAACCACTAATCTTTTGGTTAGCAGCTGAATGCTTTAACCACTATGCAACTGGAATACTTATGTGATAACTAGATGGTGATCAAAAGTTATGATTTGAAAAAAGCCTGCAAAAATCAGTCATTGTTTTTTACTCCCAGAACAAGTTGAATGAATTTAATTTTGAATGTATTAATTGTATGTTCTTGAGCAGGTATATATGATAAGACTGGTTGGTATATCTGGATGACCACTTAGGTAACAGTGTAAGATGTTGGATGAGAATTTGGAGAGAAGGAAATCAATTAGGAGGTTACAACAGTTGTCCATTCAGTGATGAATGATTCTGTCATTTAAAGTGGACTAAAGGATCAGGGTCCACCACTCATCTGTCAGTTTGTCGTACTGTGGTGGCTTGTGAGTTGCTGTGATTCTGAAAGCTACACCACTGGCATTTTAAATACCAGCAGCGTCACCCATGGTGGACAGGTTTCAGATGACCTTCCAGAGGAAGACAGACTAGGAAGAAAGAGTGACAAACTACTTCTGAATATTTAGTCACTGAAAACCTTATGAATAGCAGAGAAACAGTGTCAGATATAGTGCCAGAAAATGAACCCCTCAGGTTGGAAGGCATTTGAAATGAGACAGGGGAAGAGCTGCCTCCTCAAAGTACAGTCGATCGT